TATATCTCTATAAATAAATAACTGGGGAAGGAAAACAATATAGACAGGGATAGATCGATAATTAGGCTATAAACTTTGACTACTGTAGGAATATATGTATTGTACAAGGTGTCCCCAAAAATGTATACACACTTTAACAACTGATAAATCACATAATTTTCTCCCCTTTCATGTTTAACCGATTTGAAATAAAGCAAGAAAGGTACGTAGAAACGTATCATCAGAATTCAAGAAAATTGTGCAGCAAGGGGGTCCTGAGATAAGAATTTCTAAAGCAAGTGTCCATACATTTTGAAGCGCTGGCATTGGAAGAGTTGCATTCCAAGAAGAATCCATGCTCTTAATGAAGAGACAGTGTAGTTTTGCCAGTGGTACTTGGCAAGATCTTTTCCAATGCTTCTCGTTTCAAATTGATGACCCTTCTTGACCAGGCACAACTGGCAAGTTGTGCCTGGTCAAGAAGGGTCATCAGTTTGAAAACAGGTGTTTACAAAATTATTCATTTCTGTAGATTCTTTTCACGCAGTTCTTTTTGAAAATAAACTGTGTTAATTGATAAACACTGACTTTATACAGTAATCATTTAAAATGTGTGTACATTTTTTGGGATAGTGTATATGTATGTATCAGGTTAATAAAGTACGTTAATCTGACGTACAATTTACATTATTTCTGCTTTCAAATGAATATATATCTACATTAGAAGTTTCAACTCCACTACGATAATCTCTCCTGTTGATTAACAAACAAAAAAATAGATTAGCCAGTTTATAGAAGTTACCAAAACTTTCGTTTTCGTTTATGTGAGAATTTTTATAGATAAGCACATCTTCGAGATAATTGTATGTTCCGCTTACAAAAGTTTTGTACGTGGAGTATGCAATAATCCTTGTTTACAGAAAGTGGCAATAAAAGTGGGATGAAACATATTTTGAAATGGGAACAGAAATGAATGATACGAAGTGGCCGAAGTACCATCGTATGAAGTATGAGAGACCTTCGCTGCACGAAAGGATCACGTGGGTGCAAGGTTTATCTGTTTCCTTCGCAAAAAATTTATCGATTAGTACGAAGATCGGAATTACGCATAGATACGACGATGAAAACTTCGAAATTCTTGAAGAAACAAAATCAAAGTACACCGTTGTATTAGTGAAAAACGAACGAACGTTCACTTCAACTCTACCAGTCAAGCAAAACAAATACCGAATTAAGGAGAATATTTAAACTGAAATATAAGTTTCAATTACAAGAAAGTATTTGATCGCCAAATTTACATTTATTATAAAAGTTAAAAGACTTAGAAGAAGAACACGTGAAATTCTGTAGGATTATATTATAGTTCGGATTTCGATATAAGTTAATACAAACTCTACACCCCGCTGAGACTCGAAACAAATGTAGGACAAACTTCCGTTATCTTCAGATCCGTAAGAATTGAGAACTCGTGGGAAATAAACAAATAAATACGTGAAATTACGAAAGAAAAAGATAGACGACCAAAACGATTATTTTATTTTAAAATGGAAGTGGACGAAGTTCCGAAAGACTTATTTTTCGTCAGTATCTACTTATACGCTAATTGATTGCCCTCGTACACAAAGTTTGTATTTACGCACGACAATGCTACGTATATGTCAGTAACTTGTTAAAATTATGATTTTTGTAATCTTCGATTTTGATTTACACTCATTTCTTTTGAAATAATCGAAAATACGTATGTATATATTATTTATTCGAAATTTTTTTTTTGCGTTCGTCTTTGGAGGTTGTTTGTTTAAAGGGTGCTTCTAGGTCACAAACGTAGCGATTACTCGGCGTGCGATAAAATTCATTATGCTATCTCCGAGCAATCGGACGCCCTTTACCCTCGATGACGTTCGGATAAGTAGTTTGTTAAAACGATCGAAAATTTCGAGTGTGAGTCGTTGTTGTTAAGTCATTGAGTTTGAAATAATTCTCAATAAGGATGATATATATTCAGATTCTAGTTTCTCGAAAACATATTATTGTCCGTAGCCGTTTAACTTGTTTTCTCGGGAAATGACGTCATAATCGAATTCGTTGACAGCGGTGATGTAATATGAAACTAACATGTTTTAATTTCCTCGTTTACGTGTCAGTGAAGGTAATGCGATTTCGGATGACGTTCTCTGCCAAAACATTGACGACATCAATTAGTGACTATGACATCATCGAATAGACGATAATAATATCAATATACAGTACTTCGTCTTACCTTCTCGATCTTCCGCAACACTCCACGCATTCCCGAGTGCTTGTCATCGGGTTTTGTTTTTTTTTTTCTTATTTTGATAATTTTGGATGGTGGTTATTAATTCATTCTCAACGTTTTTCAATAATATTGTTACATGCGATCTGGTATAGACGAGTATTTTTAGGTTTTTATTGTTAGAAAACCCTGAAGTAGTCGTCTCCCTTAATAATAATCAAGTACCCCCGTATATTATGAACTAATATAACATCACATAAATTGTTTTCGGCGTATTCGTTCGTAGTAAATAACGATAACCAATTAGATAATCCAGAGAGAAATACTTCGATAAAATAATAAAATTTGATGCGATATCGTAACACATTATTAAATTATTATTAAGAACAGAAAGCATAAACAAAGTAGTTAGTAACTCTTGTTTGTTTAGACGTCATATCGACGTAATACATCGTAATCGTTAAGTTTTCTCGTTCATGTATCCCTGAAGTCGTTAAATGTTATTGCCAAAGTAACGTTGATTACGACGTTGACGTAACGAGTCGTGTGTTTACGCGTTATTTTGAAACGAAATAGCTTATGCGTGAAAAAAGGCGGCTGCTTAGGTTAGCTAAATCGTATCTTGCCGAGATGAATCGGAAGAGTTTTCGAAGTTCGTTGAGGGAGTTTCGGGAGTATAATCCTCCTTTTGTGGCTCGCGAATGATTCGACAGTACTCTCCTCTCTGAGAGGAATGTAATCCTTCTCCGTAATGTGATTTTACAATATAAGAAAATAGAAAAAACGTATTAGTATATTTGCATAAATTAAGACCAGTTATCCCACAAAATATATGAAAATTCGGAATGATTTATCCGCAGAATTATGCAGTTCGAGAATTTTTTTTTTAAATTTAATACGAATAACGGACAGAAAATTTACATATCTTGTATGACGAAAAAAAAAATTGTTTACTTCGTTCACTCTGAGCATAGAATACATGCAATTACCATTACTAACATAATACAGCGTCGCACAATATTTTAATTTTACGCCCTCGCTAATAAAGCCTATTCGATTCGGCGCACGTCGGCGGGAAGGACGACTCCATTCCGATCGGAGCGAAGAAAGGGGTAAGGGTACCCCTTCCCTTTTTAAAATTCAAATTCCTGCATTTCCTAACACCGTAATGTATATCGTAAAACATTAGCTATTTATTGTTCCGTTACATGTATACATGAGTTTATTATTGCGGAATGGGTAGAGGATACGGGAAAACTGCGAATTTTTCCAACGCATCCGTGGATTCCAGCATCCGAATTTGTTCTATATTATCGTCATTTTCTCAACAACTACATTGTAACGTTTGGTGCTTTATATCGAGTACTTAACGTACCTAAAAGCTTCTCGATATTAATTTCTTTCCACATTCGAAGCACGCGAACGATTTTTATCGAGGGTCCGTATTCAAATTTTCAGTGTTAACATAGGTCGAACGACGTATAATACACGGAACTTCTCTAATCCGAGGTGCTTTTCCGGCGAGAATCGTCCGTAGATATAAAGGAATGACATTTATCTTCCAACAGGAAGGAAGCTTTCTTTTCGCCGAACTAGCAAATTTTCATTTTATACGCGACTGTTTCCGAAACGGCCTGTGAATTTGAATCCCCTCGAAAACGAAGGTCACGAAGGAAGACAATCGTTCGGGATTTCGTTTTTCGGAAGATTTTGCAACAAAAACAAAGTTCGGCGGAGTTCTTATCGCTTCGTCTTCCGAAGGTCGCGCCGATACCGGGTTCGCCGTCTTTGTTATCGGCGATACTCCGACCCGGGCGTTGTCGCGTAAATCGAAGGTCGCGCGCGACTGTTCGCCGTGTCGCTCCGCGCCGAAGCGTCTAAAAAAATTAAATGGACTGAGAACTTTCTGTCCGGCCTCGCTTCTTTAGCGTCAATTCCAAGCTCGGTTTCTTAAGAAACCCAACAATAGATATTGCTCACAGTTTTCTTCCGTTATTATTAAAGAAGTGACACATTTTCTCCATTTAATTGACGCGATGCGATTAACGTCTATCTTTTTAAGATCAATGTTTCTGACGGTTTTTTCAAGTCTGGAAAAGTGGAAATTTTGTTTTCCAATAAATATTAAGTGTTAAGGAATCGTCCATTAATGTATTATTCAATTTTTGACCCCCATCCTGTTATATACAGTAGAATAAAAAGTTCAAATATTTTCTGATTGTTTACACGACTAAAAACTAGACATATATGAACAAGTACCGTACGTATGCCACTAAAACCCTTCACACAGACAATACCTCGATCTGCCATCGTGTACGATGACGTACTTTTCACAACACCCTCTCAAACTGTGCGTGTAATAATTAATGGACGCCCCCTAAAGCAAAACTGATTACGTTTTTCTGACACGTGGAAACTTCTTCCTCCTCCCCATATCAGGTTTTTTCCTTCGTCGTAGAGTGACACTAGTTACGTGAAGAGAATACATTATTTGTTTATGTATGCTCCGATATGTTCGAATGCATCGATAAATGATCGATTTATCGATGTATAACAACAAAATACCGGAACGAAATGATAAATATATACGAAAATTAATCTGTGTTCCACTCCTCGTGGCACGTTAATAATAAATTTTCGTTGGCGCTTGGTTTTAAACCTCCATTTTTTTCCGTCATTGCGAATCGATGTTTCCAATCGCCGTTGTGGCAATATTTTTATCGCGTTTGAACCGAAGAATTTTAACGAGTTTCGATTGATCTTGCAGAAAATTATGACCTGGCGGAAGAAGAAAAATACGACGTCATTCCGGAAATTTGGCACGGTAAGAACGTGGCCGATTTCGTCGATCCCGAAATAATGAAGGTAAGAACGCTTTCGCCTATTTCTCTTTTCGCTATTGGCGTTTGTTTAAAAAACCATTCTCGATAGAAATTGGAGGAGCTGGAAAAGGAAGAAGAGCTGAGGGAGAAAGCGGGATTTTATCTGCCGCCCGAACGCGACGAAGAAGCCGAAGAAATTGAATTGCGTGCCAAAAAGTAAGTCACTTCGTAATTCGTCAGTTCGATCGTACGCTAAGCGTTTGACATCCGACTCTTTATTTTTCTGCCAGAATTAAAGAGCGAATGATCGTGGCCAAGCTGGAGTCTCAAATTAAGAACACGTCTAAGCCGAAAATGCCACGAGCCGGACAGAAGGTGGGTATATCGCGCTCTTTGGCACGGATATTTCTGAAAGTCGCATCCCTTTTCGTGTAAGAGGAATGTATTAAATTCACTTTCTCTTTCGTTGACAGAGGAATCGTAGCGTCAGCCGTCTGCGTCTGCAGATGCAGGATCTGGGAGTGGAATTGGACGAGGAGGGGGTAAGTTCTTCCGCGTTTTCCGTCGGCGCTTCTACCACTTTAATTGTTTTTCTCGTAATCGTAGATGAAGAACGCCAGGGCGGCTTCGGAGGTGCGCCGGGCGCCTTCGGTCAAGCGCAGGAGGACCGATTCCGAGGGTCGAGTGCGCAGCAGTTCCAAGAAGCCGCGCGATCAGACGGGACTTCCGGACCGACAGGTGAGTGGAGACCAAAGCGAAAGCGCACTCGAGGCGAAGACGTCGGATTCACTCCTTTTTTTCTTTGCGTTTTCAGACGAAAAAGAAGGCCGAGAAGCTGAAGAGGAAGAGTCGCGTTCCGGCCAATCGTCTGGGACGTCGAGGAGAAGCCGATCGGATGGTGCCGAACCTCAAGCCCAAGCATCTTTTGTCGGGCAAACGCGGAATCGGAAAGACGCGCAGACGATAGACTTTACAATAAAGTCAAAGTGCGAAGTATTCTGTTTGGAAGTCTCTTTTTTAATGGAAAACAACGGCGACAAAACGCCGCGGTCGGATAATCGGACCCGATTGCGGGTGACGAAAGGAGTTTATCGGACGCGAGGTCGAATCCGAGGAAACCACTCTCTTATCGGATCGGACTCCGCGCCGGTGACGTCGATGTCTTATCTCTCGGGAAAACAAACGCGGAGGGGAAAGGTTATTCCGATTCGAGGACGCGCATCCGAAAAACTGGAAGAAAATTCGACGCGTTTTCCTTCCATCAGTCGCTCCGCTTTATTCCGAAATTTTACGGATGCCGAACGCGTCCTTCTTTTCCGACGATACATTAATTAATTAACAAAGTTCGGGAAGGAATCGATTGGAAAAGCGACAACGGAACAGAATTCCGTTTCCGGCAGATTCTTCTCGAAGGGTTATAATCGTTTGTTTTCGTAACGACCGAGAATCGTAATAACAGAGATAAAGAAGGACCTTGGATTTCGAACATCTAATCAAATAGTTTTCCCTTTAAACTTTTTCTCGAGCGTAAATTAACGCGATATTTAATAACATTCGATTAAGGATTACGCGATTCGTATCCGAGGCGTTACCACCCCATTCCGTTTTTTTTATTTTCCTTTAATGTCGGTCGCGGTCTACCCTTGGCAACCAACGGTATGTATTGTACTTCCTCTCTTCCGTAAACAAACGGATTACTCGATAACTTCGACCTTTGTCGAACGTTTCTGGCTATTTTCGCTTTTCTACGGACGTTCCCGTCGCATCCAGCGTAGGGACCCACCGTCTTGGCCATCGAACCCAAAACGTGCGGGTCGTAAATATTGGAATCCGTCGCCTAACGACGCGCTGGAAAGTTTTTGTTTTCATCCAACGAAATCGCAGTTAAGGAGGTCGTTTATCGGTGTCGAGGACGCTCGACCTTGGAACCGTGACGCTCTCCCTCCACGATCTTTACACTTTAAACCCTTCCTCTTCTCGTATCGATAGCGTTTCTTTCCGGGGCTCTTTTTTCCTCGTGCTTCTAACGTGTGACGCCGCCATAGGCGGTGTATCTTTTAATTCTCTAACGTCTCCGACCTTCGCTTAGTCGTGTTCCGCGTCTTCCGAAAACATCCCACAGACGGTCGTAACCGTGGCCTCGAGCCAGAGAGAGGCTATCACGAGACCTCCGCGTGCGGGCGAGTGTTTCCGTCACGTGCGCCGAGCGGCGAAGTGACGTCGGCGGGAGAAAGTGCGTCCGGCGGTCGACGTCCAAAACATTTCGCAACTCGTGTTTGTTTTCCGACCGATGCGGACGTAAACAAACTTCCGGAATCGATCTCCCCCCCTCTCCTCCTAGTCGCTTCCGCCCGAACGTCCTCCAAAAAGTTTTCCGGTCCTCTTCCGGAGAGAAAGCGGAAGTGAATTCGATCTTGCGGCCACATTTATTAACGACGTGAATGTAAATAACGCCGGATCGATCGATCGATCGCCGTCGTCGGGCGAACCGCCAAAATTTGTGGTAAACACTACCGTATCGATCGGCGAATGCGCGCGCTTACGCGTATCGTGTGCCTAGGACGTCGTCGTCGGCTCGACCAATAAGGATCCGATGCGGTTATCGATGCCACCGCGATCGAAAGTAGGGGGGCGGGCCATCCCTGGCAACAGCTCACCTTTGAACGCGTAAAGGTTATCTCGTTGGAGTTGTTTTCCTGCGAGATAACGATTCGTTTTTTAATCGCTCGCCGTTATATAAACGTCGTCGAATCCGTAGGAGCTCAATTCGCTTCTTCGTTCCATCTCTCTCAGACTCCTGGTGAGTATCTCTCCGTCAGCCGGCCTTGCGGCATTTTTCCTACCCGATGCCTTCTTATCGATCGTTTGTTGTTTTTTTTTCTTTCAGATCGACTTTTATAGATGGAGACCGTCGTGTCCGATGCTATGGACCTCGTTTACGAGAATAGCGTTTCTGTTATCCACTCTCTGCAGATCAGGTACGAGTCCGAGATAAATTATTTTCTTCCGGCCCGGGTTAATTTCCTCGCCCCGCGCTAACTCTTGGCGATTTTTTGCAGATTTCAACAGCAGAGTGGACTCTTTTTCCTCATATCCAATGTATTTGATCCTCGGTATGCCTTTCTGTTTTTGACTCCTTTGATTCTGTCTTTCGATCGATCCCTGGGAAAGAAAATCCTTTTCGTCTCGATCGTAGCCGAATGGTCCAACCAAGTTCTGAAATGGTGAGTGATGGTCGAAAGGAAACGCCTTTCCCTTTCTTCCCATCTTTTAATTCGTTGTCTTCTCTACCTTAGGATGCTGCACGGAGAACGACCTTACTGGTGGATCCACGAGACGGGCGTGTACAATCGTACCGGCTCTCGACTACCCGATATCCAACAGTATTTCCTCACCTGCGAAACGGGACCCGGTGAGTGTAACTTTTCTCGTATCTTTTGCCTTTTTGTCTCTAAGTAAATTAACGCGGCGATTTCCGGTTATTTTGTAGGTAGTCCCTCGGGTCACGCCATGTGTTCCGCTTCTGTCTGGTACGTGGTGGTAGAGTCTCTTCTCCGTAAAGTCGGGGCCATTAATAAGAACAGGTTAGCATTGTTTATCTTTTGTTTCTTCTCGTCTCGATTTGGCATTAAAAAACGTTTATATTTTTCCGTAGCAACGTGCTGTCGTCCATGTGTTGGTCCACTTACACACTTGCGTTGGCCGCCGTCAGCCTGTCTAGAGTTTTCCTCGCCGCTCACTTTCCTCATCAGTGCGTTCTAGGAATTTCAATAGGTAAAGTGTTTTTGTCCGGCTTTCTCTGTGAACTACGAAAGAAGTTTGCTAACCGTTCTTTCGTTTTCAGGTGTGTTGGTGGCCATGGCTGCGGGCAAGATCGACTTGGACCGACTAAAACTGAAGCATTACGTTTTGATGACTATCGGACTATTCTCCAGCGCTTTGGGCACCTACGCGGTTCTGAAGATGATGGGCATGAACCCCATGTGGTCGGTGGACAGAGCAGTCAAATGGTGCGCCAAACAAGAATACATTCATTTGGATACTACTCCCTTCTTTTCCATGACTCGCTACTGCGGATTCGCCCTGGGCATGGGGCTGGGATTGAGTTCTCCCCTATTTGCACGAGTGTCCTCCGTAAAATTCCCTCCATACGCTAAAGCGGCGTGCGCCGTTTTGGCCTTGAGCGTGGCTAAATTGTCCGAAAGAATCGTCCTCCCTAAAGCCAACGTATATCTCTTTTACGGTCTAGCCTTCGCACTCAACGTCGTCTTGTCTTACGTCTTCTTAGCCGTCGTACCCTTCGTCGTCTTTCGGTGTTGGTCCGTTCTCGACAGAAAAACAAAAAAGGTCCTTTGAGAGCTTTGGAAAGGCCAGATGAAGATCCCACCGGACCTATGACGTCCGCTAATAAGAAACGAAACGTCGAACATTTTGTACAAAGCCATTCATTTGTAAATAGTTTCACTTTATTCACGTCATTTTGTACGTATTCGCCATTCGTGATACTATGAATACTTTTTCGGTTTTAATAAATTTGTTTTTAGTTATATGTTTTCTTTTTTCTGTGTTTGGTGGTGACATCTAGTATCGAAGTAAACTATTTTCCGACAGAATCGGGGTTGCTTACGTATTGTGACATGTAATTGCGATAACTTCGGCCGCAACCTCTCTAGTATTTTGTGGCACGCGTACGAATAATAAATATGTTATCATTTGATAAAAGGGATCCATCTCGTATTTTCGTCTTTGGATCGATTGAAATAACAACGTATGGAGTTTTTCCGTTGTAATTACATTGCGAAGAAAAATTGTCGACCAACACTATTGTTTTCGCCTTCAAAATTCTGTATTAAGATCGCTGTACTATCGAAATTTGTTTATGATATTGAAGTAATTCATTTAAAATTATGAATGAATTTTTATCTTTATGAAAGAGAGAGTTTCTTCTGACATATTCATGCTACCAGAGAACGTTTACTCAATCTTAATTCTTCCGTTAAAACATTTATCGCTTTATGAATACCATAAATAGAAACGAAACGTACAAGAAATTTTGAAATAAATGTAATAAACTGCGTAAAATTTAATGAAATAAACGGACGTCCACTGAAGTTCAACCCTTCCCCCTTGTCCGACTGTGGGAATGGTCGCAACTCCCTCACTCTCTTCGGGTGTGGACGTCATTTATGAACAGCTCCTAATTGTTTTTGTTCTCATAGTTAATTTATTTTTTGAAACTTTTACTTTGATCCCGTTTTAGTATAAAATTTATGGAAATAATACTTAATAGTTTACAAGTGAGATGAAAGTATTTCTTCCATAGTGAATAAAACCTGCCTAAATTGAAAAAATATTCAATATTGTGCCAGTCTGGTTTGCACAGGTTTACTTATATTTAATATGATGAAAATAAAATGGCAAAGATCTGTTGTTCTATTTTCTTTATATATATTTTATGTTTAATATTATACATCCCTTTCACTTCCACATCTAATAATTTTTATTTGCAACAAGGGAGAAGCTGAATAATAACCCTGTTTTGTTGGAAATTTTGCAGGGAAGTTTGTTTATTAGTGGGATAGATGTTACTAAATTTTGGTGATTGAAGGTGGAAGGGGTGGGAAGATAAAGGGGGTTATGTGTATCTCCAGTAGTATTGGACTTGTCACCAGCATTTACAATCTTTTATAAAACCCATCCCTACCCTGAAAATTCACTTTTGGTGCACAATATGAAATGAATCCTTTTAACTCATTCCTCCCCAAACTTTTCCTGCTGGGAATCAGTAATTTTTCTTTAGACCCATTTGGAACTTGTACATGTTACTGAATAAATAAGATGCTAATTATGCAGATGATGTTACATTTGTGATTATTATGCAATATTACATAAGAAGATATTTTTAAAATTATTTTTTATTAGAAATTTATAACTTTTTAACTATTTCATATTTTAATTTTCAAGTTTCCATAGATCGGTATAGGGTTGTGGACCACATTTTAGGAAGTATTTTCTCGTCACAGATAGGATCGGACCTTCAATTGAAAATGAGAAGTATTACACTGGAATGAAAAACTGAATGATGCAATTGGAAGAATTAATGCCATTAATGATAAGTATATTCATATCCTTTGATTTTTCCAATTATTATTGTTACAGAAATATTCTACAGTTTATTCATTAACAATAAAAATAGAAAAATATATATTTTTAATTGTTGAAAAGGTATGCAATGTTTAATAAAAATATATAAAGTTTGTCCAAAATTTTGATGAATAATAAATTATTTTTTTGCCAAAGGTTTAGTTTCTCCAACATTGTGATTATAACCATAAATAAGAGAAAGATATATTATAAGTTATGAGAATTTGCAGTCAGGACTTGATTTAAACATGGTGGGGTCTCTAGAAGCTAAAGGACTCAGGCATTCATTAAATTAAAATGGTTATTGCAAATGTTTTTAATCATTTTATAATAGTGCTCAAATACAGATAGTTTATCATTTAAATTGCAAAAATTTTATTTTCAACTGAATATTTTGTTTAATAAATGTAGAATATGGAACATTCATAAAGGATAAAACCTTTATTGTTACCTTTTCCTTCCCATCGTTTAAATTTATTTTATTTACAATATTATTGTGATAGTGGCAAAACACCAGAGGACTTTTTACCATTTTTGCATGTTTGTTGTGGAGGCATTAGCCTATGAAGGTCGTTTTTTAATTTTCGATGGACATGCAATGACAGGAAGGGAAAGGTAACGACAAAGATTTTATCCTTTATGAATGCTCCATATTCTACATTTAGTAAATGTTAAATTACATTGGCCACATTTTAACTTGTTATTTTATGAACATTTTGTATTTTACTGCATTCCCTGATTCACTTATCTATTATTATTAACTACTATCCTGTCTTGAGAATATTTTTTCTATAGGATCCGACACAAAGACCCTGGGATGGTGTAATTTTGACTGTAAGACTAGTACATTGATATTTCATGCATGCTTATGATTAGACAGCGGACATCTAGGCCCTTAAAAGTGGCGTTTTAGGCACTTAAAATAAGCTCTTAAATTGCGTCGTTTAGGCTTTATAAACAAAAAATAGGCGGTTAAAATTTGCACAATGAACAAATAACCTACTTATCAGGACAATGAATTTTTTATTTAACATATGTATTTCAAACAAAAATGCACGTATTCAGAATGATACAAGCACAAAAATAGACAAACAATTATCTTTATATTTTTTATTTGCTCTGTTTCCCATAGTTAGCTTCATAATATATTACAAGCACTTTTTCCAAATTTTCAATAGAAAAGTTGCAACGTTTTTCACTGAGAATTAATTTATAAGCAGAGAAAAAGCATTCCACATCTGAAGATAATGGAGTTTTTCAACCTTGGAAGAAGAGGAACTGGGAATTCACTTTCAGTTTTGCTCTTCTTTCCTGCCAAAATATCAGCCACAACAAACAAGCACTTTAATCTAAGTCTCTTTTGAAGCACTCTTTCTTCACTTTTTTACAGCAGTGCCTGTGCATCACAAAGTTTCTGGTTTCCTCTGTTGAGGAGATCAATTTGTTCATATATAGGTTTCCCACTACTTCCAAGAGCAGTAATATTATCTGCAATGAATGTGAAATAACACTTGATGTACACCAACTTGTTCTGAACATAAATGTCATTCAAAATTTTCTTGGCTTTAGTTACACAAACTGCATTGTCCGCTAAAGTGGCCAGAAGTTTTTTGATATCGAAGAAATGTTCACTGTAGTAGTTAGTACAAAATCTTAGCCATGTATATGCCAAGGAAAAAATAGGCATTTGCCTAAAATCCGCTGTCTAAAAATGACAAATAAAGCATCTCTAACGCTATATTTATTAAATAAAAGTATTTATTTTAAAATATTTCATATAGTTTTAATTTTATTACTATAAAATTGCATCAGGGGGTGTAATTTATTTCTGTTATTATTGCATTCTAATTTTTTCTGCTTGGGATATGCATCCACTGGGACTTAAATATAAGTAATCAATAATAATAAAAAAATGAATTTGTCTGATTGCATTTTCAGGAAAAAAATGAAACTTAAGCAGTTTAATTTAAGAATTAAAGTAAACCTTTGCGGAAAATGAAACGAAAAATTAATAAAAACTTTTTAAAAATATGAAAACAGACTAAACTTTGTGTTTTAGGCAAAAATAGGCAGCAACGTCAAAATAAGCATTTTTAGGCATTATAAAATACCATTGTTTCGGTCTAAATGTTCATGAAAAGTGTTCATACAAAATCTTAGCCATGTATATGCAAAGGAAAAAATAGGCATTTGCCTAAAATCCGCTGTCTACTTATGATTATGCATTTTATGCTAAAGTGAATGAGAATGATGCTACAGACCTTAACATAGACACACATTTACATTGTCTTCGTGCAGTGCATAAGTTTAAATTTTACATAGGATCATTCTATCACTTGAGTCATGAGGTTATTGGATAAATATTCAAAATTGCTCCCTATTAGCTTTCTTAAATGAAAATTCAGTAATCAAGACGGTCTAAATTAGCTATTTAGATTCCTTAGCCAAAATGGCTAAAAAATTAGAATCATTCTTGACTCATTGCAGACTTCCATGTCAAGAAAGACACTTCAATTTTCAACAAGGAAAATGACAACAAGTATATTCCACATAAATTTTAAATAACAATAATGAAACACTTTTTACATGACATTATTATTTATTGCAAATTGTCCATCCCTTTTCCCCTTTTCCCTCTCACAAAGTGACATGGTCTTGATGTTCTAGTCTTTCAAACTATTCTATTTTGAGCTATTTTTCATTTAACTGTGCTCCTTTAAATCTTTTGTGACTTACTCTATTTTTCGTAGTTCCTAAGTCTAAGTCTTTAATTCATTTAATCAATTCATCTTTTCCTCTTTTATCCACATGCCCAAGTTACCATGTCCTTTTCATAAAACTTCTTTCTAATATACCTTACATTAAAATTATCCTTTAAGTGCTTATTCTTAATCTTATCAGCTAAGGTAACCTCAATATCTTGTTATATTTTCAATGTCTTTCTGACCAATATTTGAGCTACTATCTAAACCTGTACAGTAATATAGAAGCTCAGTAAATGTTTAAAGAATTCAGAGAATCCAAAAATCCATACAAAGCATTCTGTAAACTGTAAGTAAACATTATAATTTAATACTATATTAAAATCAGTGAAAGTGAAATGTGAGTATTACATTGTAAATGTCATTTAAACCTGGGAATGATTTGACACCTAGATAAACATCATAAAAGTATAAATAATTATTATAAAAATGGAACATGCACAAATTTATCTTTAGACATCTCAAGAACCTGATGTATTAATACTAAACATAGGGTTAGGTTCCAAAAGTTAAAAGTAATCTTTTTCATTACTGAGAGAAATAAGTTCTCTTTTAACTGTGAATGCTTTAAAAATGTATTACAGGTTAATATTAATTTTAGTTAAACAAAGGCATTTTCTTTTAAATTGTCATCATCTGAGCT